CTAGGAATCGTTCCACATTGAAGGGGTCTTCCACGATGCAGGTACACAATTAAGGCACCCGGGTTGTCCGCGCCATCTCTGCCGCGTCTCTTTACAAAATCAGTGACGTCATCACGCACACGCAACAACACCTGTAGTCCAGACTATTCAGGAAAAAAACGGAGAAATAATTGACAACACAAGAGATGTTTGTCCGTGCGCCAGGGTTCGATGCCGTCCGCCTGCTCAGGTGCCGCTGCTCCGGTTCCGCTGCTCCAGTGCCGCTGTGGCCAGTCCTAACACGACCAAAATCGACCCCCTCCGCTTCGTACACGTTCAGAAAGCCTCTCGTTGCTGTCCTTCCCAGTCGGTTCCTCGTTTTTTCCCTCGTTGCGCTTAGGGTTCTTGGTCTGAAANGTGCCCGTCCACCTTTCTTTCTGATGACGTCTGCCTCCGCGCACAAAGATGAGATAGGCATTGCTGCCTAGACCGACGGTCTGGAGGCCCGCGCATCTGCACCTTTGTACCTGACGCACCAGTGCCGACCAAACTCCACCACTACGCACGCCTCGCGGCGGGTGCGCCGCAGCAAAAAGGCATCGGTCCCTTCAAGGGTGAGTCTAGCCCTGCTCGCTAGAAAGACCCCCCCCCTCGCTAAGGGTCATGCCTACGCAAAACCTTGCCGAGGCAGCGAGGGGAAGAAAGGGAGAGTGTGTGTGAGAATGATTACAAACTACCATACAAAGGAGAATAGTGCCGGAGGACAAGTCGCACATGCGAGCAAGGGAAGTAAGACACCAACCACAACGAAGGACGGACAGATGCTTCATTCGCATCGTTATTCATTCGCATCTCACCAGTTTTTTTTTTTGTCTCCCATCATTGGACTGCTGTGTCGATTGCCCCTCTGGCCCCTATCCTCCACTTCTACCAGCTAGACGACCCAACCGGGGTCACATAGGAGGGGGGGGTTGGACCCCTCCTGCGGTTCCTGCCTGAGGTATTTTTATCGCTGGAAGGGTACAGCAATCCCTTCCCTCCCGACTTACGAAGTCGATCACATGTGTGTTTACTAACTACGAAATCGATTACATGCGATCGTTCGTGTGGTTGCGGGAAAAAAACTATTCCAAGCGGGGTTCGAACCCGCGACCTCCACCATGTCAAGGTGGCGTCATAACCAACTAGACCATCGGAACTTCGCTATTAAAAATGATGATCATTTAAGATATATAGCAACCATGCCGGAGAAAGTCGTAGACATTCGAAGTACATACAGATGCATAAGATCACTGAACGATTACAACAGCAGTACCCGTTCGACAATACCCTAGTCGAAAGGGGTACAGCAGTACACACATAATTCCGTTTTGCAAATATCGCCATGCACGACACGCCGTCGTATTGCATAGTATACGCAGCCCGTACATAGATAGGCATGCCTGCGGCGACGTGGACTGCATAGTCTAAAGCCTGTCGGCGTGGACATCTAGACATCTACACAGAAAGCCGGCGGATGGTATACCAGTTACGAGTCGCTTCCGAGGAGTCCGCGCATCGGCAGCCCCGCACACGGTCCATTGACGATGCCATTATCGATGGTATGCCATGCATCAAGATATGCACAGGTCTAGACATGATCCGTGCTGCCATGTGGAGGAAACGAACATGATTGTCAACCGAGACGAATTGAGCCGCGTTTATTGTCCTCTTCTCGTGCTCTCTCTCGGTGAACTCCTCGTCGAGAGTACGTGCACGGCGGGCGATGCGCCTGGCGGGAGACCCGCGAGTTTCGGCAGTCCACGCCGCTAATGACATCTAACCCGACCTTATCAAACACTCAGGTACGCGAGCGATTGCACAAAGCGAGATGCATCCAGAGCTTGCGGTCTGTGCGTGGACCTTGAAGCTCCAGCCGTAGGAAAAAACCCTCGTAGTTTTGTACATACACTACTGTAGACGCATGCATACATAACTCTGCCCTCCGATCTTTTACTACCTCTCTCCATGTAGCTCCATCACTAGTTTCCATGCTCTCGTTGAGCTTGTCCCCCTCAGGGAACTATCACGGTATGATGCGTTCTTCAAGCGCCTTGGCCAAGATAGACGAATGACGAACCCGCGGATGTGATGCTTCCTTACCGTTAATACCACTACTGTGGACGTGTCAAAACACGTTTGCACTATTTGCAGCTTAGTCTACGCAGGACTGTTGGATTGGAAGATTGGCAAATATTCATGTGCTGTCGAGGAGGGAGCGGGAACGGGGATTTAGCAGGTGGTCGCAGCGGCCACACCCTCTTTTCTTGTTGAACCCTCACACATCAAAACCGGCCATAACGCACCAAGTTGGATGCGCAATAGAGGCGCTCATGCTCGAGCACCACGGTGTACAAAATAACGCTCATGATCGATTCTCAGCCCGGCAGAGACAGATCAGAGAACCTCCTCAGACACTCAGCCACGGGCGGGACAGCTGTTCTTGTTGCACATGAAGGCGGCCTCAGCGACTCTCGCGGGAGTATCCACCACCAACCCACAGTTTATCTACAGCAAGTATTTGGTGGCAAGGGGAACACATGGGAGCAACATGTTTCTATCCCTCGAATCATACTCGACTTGTTGGGTGTTGGGTAATCGAAACGGAGACATAAGTACTATGTAGGCTATACTCGGCACAGAGTAGGACCGACGGATGACGATACACAGCATCATCAACGATGAACAGCTCTCGCCCGGCGTGTACTCGCCCCATCGCGGGCTACAAGCTAGGCCTCTGTACGTGGAGGTATTTCGCGAAGAACGTCAACCGCACGGAGCATACCACAACAGATCTAACCTCTCCTCGCTCCGGTCCCGGTCAAATCTTGGTCCGACTAAACTCAATCAATATTTGAACCTGTCTTCAGTCGCAGGCTGCGCGGCAACCATGGGGCCCTAGCTTCGAGGCGCCGGTTACGTTGGCCAGGCGGGCCGTCGCCCTCGGAGATGCGAAATCGTTGCGGAGAAATCTGGAGGCATCCCTTGGTGGGAACGGCTACGACGTGTCCACGGCCGTGGATGGGCTGAGTGGTTGGTGAGCGGGAAGTTTTTTCGGGGTGCAGCAGTACAGGTTGAAAAGCATCTTGGTGCTATCGCGTCGGAAGGCATGTTGCAGTTGTTTTCGCGATGTTCGGCGGCGAAACGGTTGGCCTCTTGAGGGCGAAACGGTTGCTCTTGGACGCACAAACGGGTTCTCCATTGTAATCACGGTCGCCTCCTCACATCCCTCCTCGCTGTCACACCTCACTCTTGACCACCACCGCTATACTAGGCGCTTCTCTTTGCTGCACCTCGCCGCCTTCGAGGGATCCGTTGACACCATCTTGCTCCTGCTCTCCGCGGGGGCCTCCGTCAACGCCCAAGACCTCGACGGCTGGACACCGTTGCACTATGCAGCGCGGAACGAGATGGGGGGGAAGGTCGTCGTACGAGCACTTGTCGCCGCGGGGGCGGAGGTCGACAAAGCGAATCACCGCGGCCGGACCGGTGAGTTCAGGCGGCACGCGCACAGCCGCGACGACACACAAGGTTAAGGTTCGCTCCTTCAAGGGAAAAGGCGGTTGCTCAGGGTTTGGTACACATAAGGAAGGTCGTTGGACTCGCTTTGGAGCTGACGGAATCCGCAGTAGAAATGCCCGTATCTGCACTAGACCCCCGTATTTGGTGCCCTCCCCGCAGAGTTGCCACCTCCACCTCTCGTTCCAGCCTTGGTACGCGTCGCGTTCCTTTTCAGCACAGCACGTGCGTCATGCCGGCTCCCGAGCTGCTAAAGACACATCCCGTGCCAGCAATACCACACTACCTAACGCTGATATAAGCGGCTACCTCCGTCTGCCTGGCGTGTTTGTCACAAAACATATGCCAGCTCCAGGCTCACGTACACCGTTCCCCCCCTGGTCCGCGTCTTCTGCTTCCGCAGCCCTGCACATCGCGTACCTCTCCAGGAATCACGAGACGGCTTCCGAGCTGCTGGAGCGCGGGGCATCAAGCGCCCTCCGGGATAATTTCGGGAAGACGGCGCAGCAGATGCTAGAGCTGAGCAAGCCCGTGCGACGGAGGTTCGTTCCGCCTCTGCTTGTTGGTGCGAGTTTTCGTCAAGAGTGTGTTTTGGAGTCTTCCCCGCCCACAGATTCCTCTTTTTTTCTGTCCCTAGCAGAGGCTGCTTGCCCGCCCCCCTCCTCGTGTTCGTCATGCAGTTCTGTTTCTCTTTTCTGCTCTGGAGGATCAAGAACGTCTTTATCCAAGCGACCCCCGGTGTGGTCGACTTCTCTCTCTCTCTCTCTCTCTCTCTCTCTCTCTCTCTCTCTCTCTCTCTCTCTC